TACATTAGTTCTAACAAAATTGTGGCATCATAGTTTTTGCATTGGCAGAGAGCTCTCATTTTTAAGTCCTATCACAAGATTCAAAGCATAGTTTACTTAATTTGTTTTTCCTAATGGCAAACCTTTACTAACTGTCAAAAGCTAGAGAAACAGGATTTTTGCAAAGAAGGAAGATATTTTCTTTTAGCACATGGCCTAGATAATGTTCCTTTTACTTTCGAAAAGTTTTCAATGTATGTTCCCTCATCTCTGATTTTCTCCCAACAGTTAAATGTTACCATTTTTGCTAATTCTCTGGAACATTCTTTCTCCTTTGCCTCTAATTATGTCAGCACCATTCACTGGCCTGAGGAGCAACACAACAGTATGTTTGCTTCTCTAGGGAGGCAGCTGGCCAGCCACATGTGGCATGGATTAGTCAGGGCTGGACAGGGGCTCCTCCTGGAATAAAGACCAGATCTGGGCAGGTGGAGGAAAGAAAGCAGCCCTCTACACAGAATGACTATGTGGTTGAAATATCTGTTTCACTTTTCTTCAACAATTTAAAATGATTATTATCTTTAAAAAAGAGGTAGCTTCTAGGAAAAGGTGATTTTTAAAAAGATTTATTTATTTATTTATTTATCTATCTATCTATTCATTCATTCATTCATTCATTCATTTATTTATTTATACAAGCACTGGGTACAGTCAGAAGCGTGGGAGGGTGAGAGAATTCACCAGAGCCAGAGCGGGGAGCAGAGCAGGCAGAAGGACGGAAGTACACTGCTGAGGGGAGCAGCGGGTGTGGCGGGAGAGGTTTGCGCGCCATGTGGGACCCTCGCCTGGAGGCTGGGGATCAAACCGGCGCTGCTGAGGCTGTGGGCAGCTTCGCAGCCCAGTGCTCAACCGCTGCACCACCAGGGGAGGCCCCAGAAAAGGTGATTTTTTAAAATAAATATTATCGATACAATTTTCTTCCACTGTGGGGCTTTTGTAGCACATTCATTTCATGCTGGGGGCCATGCTAATCTTGACCTCACTGCAGTTGGAGTCCACTGAAGGTAAAGTATTGATTAGCCTTTGTAGTGACTTGTTCCTGATGAGTTCCTGTGAGTGCCTCTCCACAGAAAAATTCATTGCCTTATTTTCTTAACTATGATTTCCCCCAAAGCAAATCCTGTAAAAACTGTAGGATTTTGGTGCAAGTTGTTTATTGGAGGGGTCAAGCTGTTTATTGGAGAGGTCATATCAGAAAGCAGAGTGAGAGCAGAGAAGTGAAGCAGTGGAGGGGCCGAGCCAATGAAGGGGTCATAGAGAGGGTTCTGGTGTCAGCAAATGGGACTCAGGCCTGCTAGGTCCCTCTGAGAATGTGTCAAATGAAGGCCTGGTTTGCTCCTGAGGACCAGAGCTGCAGTGTGATACTACCACCTCTTGTCCTTTACTGGTGAAAGTCATGCCTGAGAAGATTTGTTTTTTGGTTTCTGCTCTGTGGGCAGTGAATGCTGGCAGGGTACAGGCAGCTTCTGACCTGAAAGAGGACTGTCCATAGTGACCCCTGTGTGGACTGGGACATGAAAGGTGACCATCCTCAGCTGTTCTGAGAACAGTGATTCAAAACAGAGATCCAAACCCATATGATGTGAGTCTGTGGTTCTGTGTAGACATGTCTGGCATTGCTCTAGGGCCCTGGGAATCCATCATGCTTAGTGGAAAGGAAGCAGTCTGCATGAGAAATACTTAACTCAGGGGCCTCCCCTGGGGGCGCAGTGGGTAGAGCGCCGTGCTGTGAAGCTGTCTGCAGTCTCTGCAGCGCAGGTTCAATTCCTGGCCAGCCAGGGAGATTTCCACTTGGTGTGGCAGACCTCTCCTGTCTCGCCTGCTGCTCCCCTCAGCAGTGTCTTCAGTCCGTCTGCCTGTTCTGCTCCCCGCTCTGTCGCTGGTGAATCCTCTCACCCTCCCTCCCACACCTCTGATTTGTACCGCAGTTCTTGTATAAATAAATAAATCTTAAAAAAAAAAAAAGGAATACTTAACTCAGGAGTGGGACCGATAACATGAGAGTGTCTGTGCAGCTGAACATGCAGATCTAGCCTCTGACTTCAGTAAGATTTCCAGCTTTGGGCCTCCCCTGGTGGTGCAGGTGGTTGAGTGCCACACTGTGAAGCTATCCGCAGCCTCTGCAGCGCTGGTTCCAGCCCGGCGGGCTGGAGAGGGTCCCACATGCTGGGGCAGACCTCTCCTGTCTCGCCCGCTGTTCCCTGCTCTGTCTCTGGTGAATCCTCTCACCCTCCTGCGCATCTAGACTGTACCCCGGTTCTTGTACAAATAAGTAAATAAATAAATCTTAAAAAAAAAAAGAAGATTTCCAGTTTTCACGCCTCGGAGACACTCTCTCCCTGTCTTTCCTAGAAATACAGTCCCTAATTGCTCAGAGACATTGAAGCACCAGACTGGGTTCATCTGTCTTCAAAAATAAAACAACTTATAAATTTGCCATAATTAGGTGTTCTTTTATAGACAGGACAGAGCTCTTTAAAAATGACACCTGAAGAGATTGGTGAGAAAAAATTTAGAAATACAAAATGTCAGCTGTGGCTGTATGATCTTTCTCTGTCTTGTTCATGTCAGTGTGAATTTCTGTAAGTAAAAATGCTTCTAATCAAGGTATAAGCAAGCCTGTGTATACCATGAATATTTGCAAATGTATATTATGTACACAACTTCAATTCATGTATAGCCACACATGCACAGAGATTCTAAATATTGAAAAATATTTAGAATTCATTTTATCAACCAACAGATATGGATATTTGTACAGGTTTTTTTCCTCCATTCAGCCAAGATTGAGCTGCTTGGGGATCGAGACGTGACACACACTCTCACAAAGTGTTAGTGTATCTAATGTCCAAGTCAGTTTTGAGTTCTTTTCCCCAGTTTCCTGGCTATCCATTCTCACCATACCTTTTATGAGTTTAGACATTCCATGTGTGTGGCCAAGTGGCCATGTCTCTAAGTCCATCTCACAGGGAGCAGGAAGAAGCAAGGGAGGCGTTTTCTCAGGTTTACAGAAAAGCATTGACTTGAGGAATGGAGGGTGGCACAGGAGCCACTTGAAAGTCCAATGTTAGTGCCTCAACTCAGTGACAGCACATCATAGCTTAAAAATGGGTCTGGTGGAATCAGCACACACTCCCCCCGCATCAGTACCACATCCCTGTACCATCCCCCTCTCATTATTAACCACTCACGGGACAACACTGGGGCGGGTCCACAAAATGAAAGGGACGTCCCTTTTGCTAATGCTACTCTGATCCCTGGAATATTATCCCTGATACCATAACCCTTGACACAGCCCTGTGCATCAGGGGCACCCAGACTAGTGCCCTGGATAGACAGTGTGTGGCAGGCAGGTTGGGATGCCTCACAGGCAGGGTGTCCTGGGTGAGCAGCACCAAGAGCGGATGTGAGCAGTCTCTGCAGCTCTGTACCCTTCCTGACACCCCACTGCCCAGTGGAATTCTCATTTGCCGGTTTCTAGGGCTTGACAAGCTTCATTTGCTAGACTGTCTTTTATTGGCCTCTCATTCCTAGAGATACTTTGAAGATTTACCTTACAAGTACACTGGGCAAACTGGGAAGAGAAAAAGTCTCAGGGGTTCTTAAAGCAGTCCATCTCTGGGGAACAGGCCATAATATTGTTTTTTAAAAACAAAAACAAAAAACCAAAACATCTCCTCCAAAATGTGGTGAATTACCCCCATGGTTTAAGGAATAGAAAAATACTCTAACTTTTGCATTCTTGAAAATGGGAAGTCAACACAGATGAGATTTCAAGTCTTTAGGCATGAAAATTCAAAGGAAAACACTTTTCAGAACTTCTGTGCATCTTAGATTTTAAGAAACCAATATTTTATAATTGAGGCCTTGTTTACCAGGGACCTCTGAGATTCCCCTCAAATACACTTAGTTTCTTGTAACAGCTGGATTTTAATTAGCCATGGCAATGAGACAGAACCAAATGGTAATGCCTAATGAAAACAAAACCAGAACCCCATCCTTAAGCACTGCCTTTACTCTCCAACCCTGATCAAAATGTTCAATAACTGCTTCAAATCGCAAATAACTGATGGGCACGGTAATGTCTCAAATTTGGACAAGACTAAAGCAAGACAGTTGCTTTGTATGTTACCAAATGAGCTATTGTTTTTCACTGACATCAAGTTTCAACCCCTTCTGTTATAATTTAATTGGTTTCTTAAGAGGCAGCACTGCACCATCACAACTGAGGGTAAAATGGCAGAGGAAGGGAAGTTGTAGAGGGAGGATGAGCAGCCCTCAGACCTACCAGAGTCTCAGAGACACATGTCACTTACTGACAGCGGAATGTTCTGCGAAATGTTGGTCAGAGATTTTGTTGTTGTGTGAACATCAGAGTGTACTTACACACCTTCCCGGTATAGTCTACCACCCACACCAGCTACACAGAGAGCATGTGAGGTCATATATGTGGTCTGTCGGTGGTGACTGAAACAGTGTTCTGTGGCACGTGACTGCTCTTTTGTTTCCAGAGAGATAGCAGAGAAAAAAAATCTAACTAGGCATACTTGCTCTAAAAGTCAGAAGGTCAAGTTCAAATGTTTGGCTCCAATGTTTGGTTCAATCACTCCATTGCTCCGGTGGCTGAGGGTCTTCAAGATGATGCAGAAGGACCAAGGCCCCAGAGTGCCCCAGCCCGTTAGAAGGCACAGAATGGGGAGTACTGGGGTGAGCTTAGCACCCCAGCAACTCAGCAGAGAGGTGTGGGAACTGATCAGTCACTCGAGGCCTATACTAAATGACAGTCCACAGACACTCCGGCCTTAAGTAGGAAGGTTCAGAGAGAGGGGACCCGAGGGGACTGGACAGAACAGTATTCTGAACAAAACCAATTCCATAAGCAAGGGTTTGGCTGCCACTTGTAAGACCAGTAGCAGGATCAGGGTCTGCTTTTATATATATGTATAAACATATATATGTTTAAATTTATATAAATACCAGTTTTCTGAAGAATACTTGCCACCATCAACCCCACCTTTCAAAATTGCTAGAGAAAAATCCAGTTTTAGCTGCTCTCAAGTCTACATGTTTTTAAGAACCACAGACATGAAGGACACCTAAGCCACGCTCTCCCCCTTGAGTGAAGCCACTGACAACCAGGGTTGGTGCAGGAAAACGTTAAGCCAAACATCGCCTCCTTAGGCCAGTGTTTTGTTCAAATGAGACTGGCCACGACGGAAGAGAAGCGGCTCTGTGTAAGTCTTTATTGAGCAGCTCTTTTTTTTTTTTCCTTTTTTTTTTTTTTTTTACAGGTAATTGCCACATAATTTAGGACAAGACTTTTTAAAAGCAAATTTGATAAATATTGTCAGGATGACTATTTTTACTAGAGGAAACTGAGATTTCTGATTATGTACAGAAGGGAAAAGATTTGTTTAGAACTACTGAACTTGACACTTTGGAAAACATATGTTAGTTATTGTAATATTTTTTATAATAATCACTTTGAGAGGGACTTAGAGACTTCAAGAGAAGCAAAACTCAAGAATGAAGAATACTGTAGTACAAAATTATGGCCAAAAATACTGTATTTTTAACCAGCAAGATCATTGGGGCAATATTATACAACAGAGGTGTTTTTTGCAAAACTAGTTCCCACCCCCAAACAATAGACAATACATGCATTTGAATGACATTTTAAGAACAGTAAATATGATTCTTTTAAATACTGCAAGTTAAAAATGTTTTCTGACAAAACTTCCTAAATACATAGTTCTAGTAAGGGTTTCCAACATGGTGACAGGTGAGGAATCCAGCAAGTTGCATTTAGAAGTTCTTTGAGGAAAAGAAATCCACTAAAATCATGTATTTCAGTCAAAATAACCTGAACAAAGTTACATAGTAATTTTCTGTTTTTCCTAAACTAAAAAATATTTTGCTGAATATCGGTTTTTTTTTTTTTGGTCTACCAAGGCTTAGATGAAATCTGAATTCCTTTTTTCATGAAAGATCCAATTTTACCCAATAGGTGTTTTTGTTAACATGTAAATGCCATTTACTATTGGGCTGGAATCAATATGGGGAAATGGAGGATACATGATAGAGGAGGTAAGGAAATTAATATTTGAGCACCTACTATGTGCTAGGTGTATATGCAGACTTTGAACAGATGGTCCTAGAGGCAAGAGTGTTACTGAAAAGGGCACTGGTAGTTGGGAAGACAGCAGGAAGTGGTCTGTTACTCCGTGTGGAAAAACAAGTTTAGACTCTACTAAGTTGCCACTAAACAGCAGGTGTCTGGCTCCAAAATCTCTAGTGAATCATATACAGCTAAGTCATTTCTTCTCATAATTGGATGGAACCAAAATTAAATCCCAAAGACATAGTTACCAAGACAGATTAACGCTACATATGCTGGAAATATGATAAACATACAATATTATTGGTTTTATTTTTTGTGTATATTTCTAGCCAAAGAAACATCTTTGGAAGAAAATAATATATACCAAGCACACCTTATTTGTGTCAATTGAGATGTTGTCAATTACCAATCAAGTGGTTTTAAACCCTTATTTAATTTTAATAAGAGCAGCAATATACATTACAATATTTGGGTACACTTTATTTTTATATGGGTTAACATTCTGCTATATTTATTTTTGAGAAACTGAAAACAAAGGGAAAGTTGAGGGTAATGTGAGGGTTATTTCCACCCAAGATCTGAGTCTTGCAGTATCTCATTATGCAGCCCTTTCTTCCCATTATATTTTTTTGCAAATAAGTCATTTTGACCCAAATCCAGCATAAATTAGCTTTTCACCAATTCCTAACTTGACACTAAAATTTACAATCATGTGGCAGAGTACGTATCTCAAAACGAGTTCGTACACCTTGATAATCAAGATAGCATGAAGTACAAAAAGTAAACTGCCCTTTAGCTGAATTACCTTTTTTTAAAAAAAAATTAGGCCTGCTAGTTATTCTACAAAAACACAAGTTTCAAATGTTCTTCAAATACCTTTGATAGCTTCATCTAGTAAATAATATACGTAGGATCCTAAGATTTCACATCTCCCACCCCCTGAAATCTACTCTTCACATTCAACAGAGCTCTTTACATGGATATGTTACAAAAAAAAATCCAAAACTTTGAAGGGATTTATTTATTTCTGAATGGGTGTGTTGTTTCCCTTTGTTTCAGATATGAGGCACAAACTTTTGAATTTAAGCTCTGTAAGGCATAGTACAAACCTCCAATTTATCAGGAAGGAATTCTCTGTGGGTTGGAACTGCCTTGTCATACTAAGAAAGGAAAAAAATAATCTGTAAACTGGTACACTGCAAGGTGTTAAGTGAGTCATGAAATGGCCACTTGCCTTGGTATGCTGAAGAAAGGATTTTGTTTTTGAATAAGACATGCCCAAGTCACCGTAAAACTTGCCACAGGCCTCCGTTACCTAGAGCATCAACAAGAGGAGTCCAGTGACACACGCTTAGAATGCTTGCAATCACAATATAATATAAAGCATGAGTAAACTTTGTTTTTATACAAAACTGAAAAGAATCCCTTCCCGCCCCAGCCCCCTCAATAAAACCCCAAAGAAACAAAAGAAATCCTTTAGCTTCATTTGACTAGTGTGGATACAATTAGGCTTCTATGCATCACTGCAGCTAGGGTGATCAATTTTTTCCTTTCTCAAGAGAAGGGATCTTGTCATGCACCCTAAGATGAACAGTGAAACCACAAACCTCAATTCTGCATAGCAATTCCTTCCCAATTTCATAAAGACAAATATATCAATCTTTCCCTATTTTGCTCAGCTTCTTTCAGATTTGAGATCAGGTTTAATCAACTACATCTACTATAGGTTTATTAAATAGAATATCTTGAGTCCCTAAAACTGTAACACTTAGGATCTTGTGATGAGGTTTTTTCCTATACACGCCATAGGCTTTCACATGTTGTTCACTTTTTTTTTCCCCCGCTGCACCAAATTTAAGATTGCCCTGTCAGGCAAGCAGTGGTCTCTAGCTGTGAAAACATTTCCTTAGTGGATCACAATAGCTTCTAAAACTGCCTTTCTAATAAAGGCCATCAGAGAGGTAATACTAAACTGTGCATTTGCCAAATAAGAATATGAATTGTATAAAAGCTCATATTCCAATCCTAGGTCAAATGGCAAAAGTTCTACAAAGTTGGTTTCCATGTTTGTATAAAAGCTCCGACTGATTTTATGTATTTTGCTATGAAATTGCCTTTGGATCTTATAATCAGTATACCTCTACTCAGGAATGTGCAAATGATTTTATACAGCACGATGCTAGTACCGCTCTGTATGATAGTAAGATTTTTTTTCTTTTCTAAATGGAAAAAAAGATATCCCTAGTCAGAAATAAACTGACAAATTTACATTCTCCTCTCTTAAAAAAGTAAATAAAATAACATTATTCAAAATGTGAATTAGCTATAAGACATACAATTACATAGATACATATCAATACAGCACATTCAATCTGCCAAAACATTAATGATTATAAAGCCAGTATGGATGCTGCAATATCAAGATGTATGTACAATGATTAGAGCATTCATAATTGCACTATACCTACAGATAGTCTGTTTCTTAATTAAATTATAGGTGCTTTCTGAGCAAAGGGGGAAAAAAAAGTAACTAACCTGTGTTGTCTGAGGCTGGGAGAGTAAAGAATGAGAGCATTCCATTACCATTTAGTAACTCTGGATCTCAGCTAGTAAGTCATTAATTTTCTCTTTCCTCTTTGTTGTTCCAAAAGAGTGATTTACATGGAAGTTCAGACCTTTGCCAAATAGTATTGTAGTTAAAATGAGACCAGTGTTATGGCCTAATTCTAACTTCCCAGCAGGTTTAAAACACTCATGATTTATTCTCTTAAATCATATTTCAAGTCAAGTTGCTTGACAGAAGTTCATCAATACATGTGCTATATTTTTTGCATTTGTTGAAAAACTGCACATAACGAATTTCAAACATCTCTTCTAGTAGGTTTAGTTACATAAATTCATGTTCTCCAGAACACTGAGGTTACTTTGCATTCACAAGTCTTTCTTAAGGTCAACTTAACCAGTGACCAGTTTAAGAAGATCCCAAATGTGGCAAACTAGCAGTAACTTCAGATTAAAAAATTAAAGATGTCAATTAATACTATCAACCAATGGTCTTGGCAGACTTATTCGACCTTTAAGAACTTAAGAGTAAAACTGACTTCAAATTAAGAGTGACATGCAGATTTCATGTTGTATCACATGGGACACATTTTCACACTGATTTGGACACTAGACATGGAACATGGACACTGAACAATGTGATCTTAAGGGCAAAAAAAATGAATGGACCACAAGAATCAAATTTACAGTTGACAACTGTTTGGCAACTGGCGTTTTCAGGTTCATTCTCAGCCATTTAGTTTAGGCTTTAGTTTTACTCTCTTATTTTAAGATACCAGCTTTCATTGTTTAAATGTTTATTCATTTTGATTTATAAAAAGCCAACTTTGGCAACACATAGAATTTAAGTTAAAACTGTGGCCCAAACACTAAGAAAAATAGGGAGGAAAAGTCTTAACAAAGGGAAAAAAGCACAACTTATGAAAAGTTTCTGGGTAGCAGCCACTGGGGTAATGTAGTGTCTGTTGGCATATTTTTTTGGCATCTGAAATTTAAAGAAAAGGTTATAAAAAAGGAAGCGAAGAAGGGCAATGGCATGTAGCATTTCAAAAGAAAGAACTCCTGTTTATCTTTGCCCTTGTTTTACTTTCCTCTGAGCAACCAAGGTATGGCTGAAGGGTAGAAATTCAAAAAAGGGCCGCCCTGGTGGCGCAAGGGGTTAACCCCTGCACTGTGAAGCTATCTGCAGCCTCTGCAGCATGAGTTCAATCCCGGCCGGCCAGGGGGCTACCCACATGGCACGGCAGACCTCTCCTGTCTTGCCCGCTGCTCCCCTCAGCAGTGTATTTCGGTACATCTCCCTGTTCTGTTCCCTGCTCTGTCTCTCATGAATCCTCTCACCCTCCCCAAACCTCTGGCCTGTACCCCAGTCCTTGTATGCACAAATAAATAAATCTTAAAAAAAAAAATCCAAAAAAAAGGGGACGCTTAATGGTTAGATGGGAATCCACTGTCCCAGCCCAAAGTGAGGCAAAACAATCTATTCATATTTAAAAAATCTTTGTGTGCACCCAGAATAAAGCATTTCAAATCACAGTTAATGCTTCTCCTTGAATCAAAAACACAGACTGTTAAATTAAACTGATGTTGATGGCTTAAATCGAATGACATTGTCCTAACGGTATCATTCGAAAGAGAGAGCTGACATGAATGGAACTAGGTTGGGCCACTGTAACCTGGGAGAAATCAGGAGGTATGGTGTAGGGAAGAGAAAAATTTAAAATACATTAAATCTCAATGTTTTTGCCTAAAAAGAAGAAAAAGAGAGAGAGGAAATGTGCTGGGACTGTACTTCAGCATCCTGTTTTCCTCTAAATAGTTTAAATAAAATCATAGTATTTACTACAAACTCTGTGGACACATTCACACAGAGTCCAAGACAGCAATAAATTAGTACTATGCAAATTGTTATCCACAGAAATATAGTTCCTCTTCTTTAGCTTCCATAGCCCACCAGGGAAGGGAACGGTGGTGTTGAAGAGGCACAATTAGACCAGATTGTACTCCTTCAGGTTCAACTGGAGGATGGTGTCCTTGACGGCTGCAAAGACAAAGCGGATATTCTCGGTGTCTGTGGCGCATGTGAAGTGGGAGTAGATAATTTTGTCGCTGTCTGGGTTCAGGTCCACGAACATCTTCAGGATGAATTCTCGAGCTGCCTGAGCGTCTCTCTGGGGTCCTGTTGATCAAGGAAGGAGAGGGACAGTTTGTCAGCTGACAGGCTGGTGGTTTTGCTCAAGGTTTATGGGGTCATTGCTCATGAAAATGGCATCTGTAGAGATTCAATCTGTTAAAATAATTTTCTCCAACACTATTGAGTGTAACTGCTTCTCTGTCACTTTATCCAACCATCCGTCTGTGCATCCATCCATCCATCCATCCATCCATCCATCCATCCATCCATCCATCCATCCATCCACCCACCTACCCACAAAATGTGGTTAGATGAAAACAGGCAGATGGCTTTGATAGCCAGGCTAAGTTTACCCAATTCCTTGGTGGACTGGGGGCTACTGCAGGCTCTTCCATTGGGACGTGACAGCTTAAGTTCTGGTGAAGTGAGTTAACTGGGCTGGTTTCACTTATGCAGTATGTGTGCATGCAGATACCTGCAGTTCTCTCATAAATTTGTCTCCTACCAAGTATTAAGCATCTGATTCATGGCTCTATGTATCTACATTTCCAACATGCTTTAGTTAGTTCTATATGAAGAAAAGAGGAGACTTGGCTCTAAGCCCCTTTTTCTCTACCTCCTCCTGTCTGGTAAGAGCCTCTCAGCATTGATAGCTTAGTTCTTTTGTGACCTAGTGTTTGGGATGAAGAAATCTTCTGAGGAAGTGGAAGGCCTGACCACCATTTCTAGCAAATCACATCATGAGTTTCAATCAACCTGAGTACTTTGCATCCCAACCTTATTGCAGATTGGGGACTACTCAATGAGTTTATATCAAACAATGGCAGCAATTGGGAGAAAAGAGCCATGAAAATATTCTCATTTGTACAACTAAGAAAAGTATTGAGTTTTTGACTTGAATGCCCAGAATTGAAACGTTTTTCAGTGTTTAAGACTAAGGCTAGTATGTTGGCAAGGATGTGGAGAAAAAGGAACTCTCCTGCACTGCTGGTGGGAGTGCAAACTGGTCAAACCACTATGGAAAGCTGTGTGGAGACTCCTCAACCTACTAAAGATAGAGCTTCCATATGATCCAGCAATTCCACTCCTAGGTATTTACCCAAAGGACACAGAAACATTAATTCAAAAGAGCACCTGCACCCCCATGTTTATAGTAGCACTGTTTACAATAGATAAGCTTTGGAAACAACCCAAATGCCCAAAAATAGATGACTGGATCAAGAAGATATGGTATATATACATACTGGAATATTACTCAGCAATCAAAAAAGATAAACTCATGCCATTTGCAGCAACATGGATGGAGCTGGAAGGGATCATGCTCAGCGAAATAAGCCAGAAAGAAAAAGAAAAATACCGGATGGTCTCACTCATAGCAGGAATCTAGAAAACCTAAATAAGGGGTCAGGAAAAAGAATAACTATAAGAAAGAAAAAATCAAAATCAACAAACAACTATGAACCAGAGACACTCTATGGGGGTGGGGGGCAGGGATTGGGATCAAAATAAGGGGGGGGTACAATTAAATGGGGAATTTAAAAATAAAAAAAGACTAAGGCTAGTATCATATTAAATAATCAATATTCACAGTTTAAAAATACTATGGTTAAATAATTATATACATGTCCTGTCTTTCTCAATATACTATGATTAATCCCACAGCAGCAATAAAAATTATTTAAAACTTAGAGCTGGATAAGCCTCATGTTCATAAAAGAACACTATCTTTCTGGCTTGTGAATAAACTTTCATATGTTTTGTACTCACTCTACCAGGGAAAGAAAGGTGTATATATATATATATATATGTGTGTGTATATATATATATGTGTATATAGAGCCCTAAAGAATGTTAGGAATAGACTCAGGTTCTTTTGAGTTGTTTACATAGCTTAGATATTGTAAATAGTGTTGCTATAAACACAGGGGTGCAGGTGCCCTTTTGAATTAATGTTTCTGTGTCCTTTGGGTAAATAACTAGGAGTGGAACTGCTGGATCATATGGAAGCTCCATTATATGCTTTTAAGCACAAATTATGTTATTTGAATAAACATAGATGTATTACAAAGTAATCATTATAGCCATCATAGCAGGGACAGAATTTCAGTGTCTATGAACAATTCTATAATTCAAGTCCATGTGGAAATGGTAATTTCCCCTCCTGAAGAGAAACAGAAATGGCATTTATGGTGATTAAGACCTTGTAAGTGCAGAGATGTAAAAGTGTGAAATTTATAATATTATAAACATGTTTATTATGAAAACATTGCAGGTTGGGTAGTTTTTTCAGTCTTAGCTCATCTTGCTAGGCTTTGAGTCTCAAGAAATGACAGCTGCGTTTGCTTTGTGAATAACAATCAGTGTCTTTTCTTCTGTGACCAGTTTTCCATGTACACTGAGTGTATTCTGGGGTATTAGCGGGAAAAACGCCTTCAGGTTTTAGGACATTCACAATGGACACATTAAAAGGAAAATGCTCACATGTTGGAAATCTAGGGAAAGGAGATAGGAAATACATAAAGTTATTAGGAAGATATTAAACAGGGAAACAAAAAACAGACCCCAAACACCCCATCAGACAGGGCCTCCCTGGTGGCGCAGGTGGTTGAGCGCCACGCTGTGAAGCTGTCCGCAGCCTCTGCAGTGCCGGTTTGATCCCAGCCGGCCAGCGAGAATCCCATGTCGAAGCAGACCTCTTCTGTCTTGCCCACTGCTCCCCATAGCAGTGTATTTCATCAGTCTGCCTGTTCTGTTCCCTGTTCTGTCTCTGGTGAATCCTCTCACCCTCTCACGCATCTGGCCTGTACCCTGGTTCTTGTATAAATAAAATAAATCTTTAAAAACAAACAAACAAACAAAAAACCAAAACACCCATCAGACAGAAAAGTCTTTCACTGCAGGAAAATCAACCCCTGTGTGGTGTGGCTGTGTGTGTTGCTCCGAGGGGCCAGATGGTAGTGTATCTCCCCTCTGTTGTCCCACATGTCAGCACTTCATGAAAATGTGCTAGCCAACAGGTCGGTGGTGATGGTGGGGAGGTGGGTGGAGGGCTGGGGAGCTGGAGGGGAGATAAATTAGTTCCACCTGCTGATTCTCACCATATTCTGAGAAAACTAGTTGTTTCTCCTTCCAGATGTGAGGCAAGCAGATGTGCTTTAGGTGTTAGGCAGATGTTTTGTGCCTGCCCACCTCGTTCAGGTAGATGTCATGTTTAAGAACTAGTCTGTTGGTGTGCCAAGTTAATGATGCACTGAGGACACAGTCTCTGGCATTTATGACTTGGTGGCAGGCCACAAGCCTATTAAAAGGAGTAAAAGTAGATATATTTATTTTTTTATTTTTATTTTTTAAAAGAGTCATAGTACTCTTTTTTTTTTCTTTAAAGATTTATTTATACAAGCGCTGGGTACAGTCAGAGGCGTGGGAGGGTGAGAGAATTCACCAGAGCCAGAGCAGAGAGTACAACAGACAGAGTGATGAAGTACATTGCTGAGGGGAGCAGCGGGCGGCAGGAGAGGTCACGCACCATGTGGGACCCTCACCCAGTGGCTGGGGATCGAACCGGTGCTGCAGAGACTGTGGGAAGCTTCGCAACCCAGAGCTCAACCACTACGCCACGGGGGAGGCCCTAGATATATTTACTTTTAAAGACCAGCAAAAGGAAATGTACATGGAAGGAGGATGGCACCATCTCTAATACCTGATAACATCCCCAAACTATTATCTCTCTCCTCTGTCAGAACTGTATCTCATGCAGATAAAAAGGAGTAAAATTCTACCCCTGAGGGCTTGAATTCATAAGGAAAGCTATAAAGCCAGATTTGAAGTAACTACCTTCCTGAGGGGATATTAGAAAGTACAAAAACACTGTTTAACAGATATCTATCCCAGATAGCAAATGCTGACAGAGTAATTTAAACAGTAGTCTGTAATCTTGCTGTTATACATACCTCCACAACAGGTACTTTTGTATTTGTGCTTTTCTCTGTTAGGTACTGTGTTAAGTGACTTACATACTATTTCATTCAATTCTTTTCTTTCTTTCTTTTTTTTTAAAGATTTATTTTTTATTTATTTATGCATATAAGAGCTGGGGTGTAGGCCAGAGATGTAGGGGGTGAGAGGATTCACCGGAGACAGAGTGGGGAGCAGAACAGGCAGATCTACTGAAATATACTGCTGAGGGGAGCAGTGGGTGAGTCAGGAGAGGTCTACAGCGTCATGTGGGTTAGCTCCCTGGCCAGGGATTGAACTCATGCGCAGTGGCCAGCGACAGCTTGATAGTGCTTAGACTTTAACCCCTGCACCACCAGGGAGGCCCCATTCAATTCTTTTCACTCAAAGAAACCGAGCAGTTGAATAAATTTTTCTAAGGCAACCTTGCCAGTAAAAGACAGAGTTGGAATTCTGTGACATTCAAAGTTTGTGTTCCTAACAACTATGCATCTAGATCAGGGTTTGGTAAACTTTCTATGTATAGAAACAGAGCATATATACGTTAGACTTTGTGGGCCTTTTGATCTACCAAAAGCATTCAATTTTGCTGTTACATGAAAGCAGCCACAGATGGTGTAGTTAATACATGGGTGTGGCTGTGTCAATAAAACTTAATAAAATCAGATGGCAGGCCACAGTTTGCCACTCCTAATCTAGACTCAAGTATGTATCGATATGGGGAGAGAGGGATGTGTATCCTGCCACATAAGCTCCTATAAGGTTAGTGGCTGGGACTCTTTCAATAAATCGAGTATTTCTCAGAATGGGTTGGGAGTCATGTCCAGACAATTAAGACTTCACAGTCCAGTTGGGGAGGTAATAAGGAAGTAGATAATGGCACAGGGACTCTTGATGCGAGTGCTAAAGCTTTCAAGTGCTACAGTAAGAGCTTAAAGAATGGGTGTTGCCCTAAGGATGATGAGACTTCATTGGGCCATGAAATCTTCCCTAAACAAGTATTTCCTGAATACTCACTATATGTCAGGCATCATGCTAACATGCTACTCACGGTATCTATTTTTGTGTACAAAACAGTCCCATGTGTTTAGTCCTAAGAAGCAGAGAAATGATTTGCTGTTGCTACAAATATCACGCATCAGAACTGGAACTTGAAGCTGGGTAGATTTGCTTTGGAGCATGGGCTCTTGACCATAAAACTGTGCTCGCTCTCTCTCCAGAGAGAGGCAGAAGAAGACTGACTTGGAATAAAAGGGAGATAAGGAGGGAACTGTAATGACTGATACACAATAGTATGTTCATTCTTGCATCAGTCTTGGGAGACAAAATATGTCCCCAGCCACTGGCTAAGAGTGCTGACTTACCATCATATTCTGGGAAGTAGTCAACTAGGTGGGAATACATAATTTTTTCCTCTAGAAGATCTTTCTTGTTTAAGAAGAGAATAACCGAGGAGTTCTGGAACCAGGGATATGTGATAATTGTTCTAAAGAGTGCTTTGCTTTCTTCCATCCGGTTCTGAAAAAAATCATCAGAAAAACAAGGTGTGAATTACATGATTACTCAATCTGTGAATGATGTTTATTTTGCAAGTCCAATCCATCTTCTGCATGCATTCAATTTTGTAGCTTTGGGCAGGGCTGTAACTTTTATCAGGATTTATGTGCAAATGGTTCATAACACATATTGGTTGTTCTCATTATGAAAACTCTCAGGTTGACAAGCAAAAGAGAATAATAATATCTGCTGAAAGAACTTTTAAGGTTGAAAGAGACAAAGCCTAGAGAATCATGATGTATGAGGCAAACTCATAAATTTCCACAAAAAAATGATTTACTCATGACCAAATACTTAAAATCTGAATTAAGAACTAAGTGTCTGGTTTCATCTTACATTTTTTTAAGCTGTGTTTATTTGACTCTGTATCTCCTGATAGAAAACGAAACAAAAATTAGATTATACATTTCCCATTTATCAGAGTACACTACGCGTTTCACTATAATTTTCTTACAGTGCTGTGGAGATATACATAGCAATTACCTGGAGACACAAATGTAGTATTTCTTACCTTCAGCATGTGTGAGAAGGTATTGTCACCTGAAACTATACTAGGAAAGCCAACTTTGGTAAACAGAAAAGCTGAACTGATTCTTAAGGATTAATTTGCTCTAATAAATGAAGATACTAATCAAGGCTACTCCTGGGTCAAATCATTCCTTGGCCCTGTTCAGCCAAAACTTAGAGAACCTCCTAGCTTCGCCCACGTCTCCTTACCAGTTCTTCCTTCCATAGTCACGTCCTAAAACATTCCCACACATGGGTCTAGACAAAGGCAGGAGACTTGGGGATCTGAGGATATAAAAGCCATGGCACCCAGCATTCTCTTTCCTGGACACAGATGACACTTCCAACACACTCAGTTCTACGTGTTGTGACTGAGTTTCAGCAAAGGGGACTGCCTAGGACTGAGCTCACTTCCACCATAATGAGCAGCACCACAGTTCAACCCATAGCATCCTATTCCGCTGGCACCAGGGTTGGTTTTAAGGTTGGTCTCTGAATCTAAGACAAAATGACTGAAAATGTTTTATTCCTGGTTTATGGTCATCAGTCTAGCCAAGGAGCACAACTCATCCAATTAACCCAGAACTTTTGCTTGGAACTCTAGAACAGAGAACCCTGCTTTCATGACAAATGTGGAAGAGAGATGAAAGCACCAGGAACTTCTAGCTGTCATCTAGACAGTGAAAGAAAAAGAACATCTCTGAATTGGCTTATTCCCGTGGATTGTTATTAACATCAGCCAATAAATATCCTTTCGTTTTTAAGTCAGAGTTGTATTTTTGGTATTAAAATATTTCCAATTGATATACCTGGATATATCCTCCATTGACACCCATAAAGGAGAATGAATGATGTTTGGGGGATGACTGGAGGCTCAAGCTATTAATCACCTCTGCTCAGATTCTGCCTTTCTGGTGTAGAATTAGAATGTTCTCTAAGTTTCACTGTGCAGGGTTACAAAGATCAAGTGTACTCTTCTATAGGACACTTTGACTGCTGTCCTGGGAAATCTGTCCAGGAAACTCAGTTCACCAAGCAAAATTTTTTATGATCCTGAACATGGCTGGCTTTTTCTTTCGTAAAGTGTGCCAATTCAAATCAAGCTGAAAAGACGCACTTTTCAAAAAGCGATCTTTAACAAATTAGGTAAAACCTATCATCAGCAATCTCTTCAACCTTAAACTCTGTGCCTACAATTGCTTAGGTAATTAAATACTGATGAAATGTGGAACTGATACAGTGAAAGTTTATACCATAGCTCAATGCATAGTGATTATTTCACTACATATATTTCTCTTTTACATAAATGATATGCATAGTCCTTAAAAATATCTTTACTATCTGTATGTCTTTCACTGGTTATCACCAGTAGTAAAACTGTAAGCCATGAAAATAATATTCATTGAGAAATTATGTCTCCCAGTGTGAGATTTACAAGCTGAAAATTTCAGGACTGAAGAAAAGCAAAGGCCCTAATAAGAACTGGAAGAATTTAAGAGAATCTAAAAGTTATTAAGATAGCGACATCACTAATGGAGACTTAACTTTTTGTCCTTTGTTACAGATTCTACAAAATCATACTGTGGTGTTTAGGGTGAAAAAGGGTGGGTATATATGCCCATTGGCATCAACCAAGGGGCATTAAGTGTCCATTAAGAAAATTTATCATCATATTTAGCAATCTCCAGAAGGTGTTGAAGGTCTCCCTAGGGACAGGGCCCCACTTTGGTCTTTCCTGGTTGGGTTCCTTCAAGTTCCCATGGAACTGGTCCTGTTTGCAATTTGGGGGCTGCTCTTGCCTATCTCCCCATTTACCATGTGCTATGTGGACAGGTGCTTGAGCTTCTAACTCAGGGGAAAATTAGAGAGCAACAAGGTAGGTAGCTAGCTGGCAGCATCAACATCTGGTAGTGTCTTCAACCAGATCTGCCGAAATCAACCTCAGAGGACATCTCCAGGAATCTGCATTTTAACAGTCTCCCCACTTCCCCCAGTTGTGAGGCACTGTGCTTAGATGGGCTTCTCCAGAGAGCATGTGTTATGAATGAGCAGGAGTCCTTATTCAAGCACAGATTCTGATTCAGTGGGAGGTGGAGCCCAGGAGCATGCATTTCCAACAAGCTCCCGGGGGAGGCTGATATTGCACACTCTGAAGTGGAAAGTGCAGAAGGCGTGCTGAGCCAGTCAACACCCATGAAGGCGATGCTCTCTCCCATTTTTGTGATAAGATGTGCAAGTCACACATCAAGCCGAGTGTCAGTCCTGCACTGAAAATCTACAGTGCTGGCTCCATCCTTGCTGTTTTGCCCAATTACGATGAGCTAAGTATTCCTTTCTGCTTTATAAGTTTTTCACTCTCCAGTTAAAATTTCTTATGCCTCCTCTCTCCTTCCTATGGCAGAATATTTACAAAGTGATGGCTCTGTATCAAAGCCCCTGGAACAATCCAAAATAAGATTTCATGATGCTTTATAAGGTGGTGGAATGTGTGAGGCATTATCCACTCTGTTCAGTAAAACCTCAACTCTATGAGGAACAGCATATCCCAGGAGACCCTGTGGCACTTCCTTTATAGTAATTTGCTAGGGCATGAGGTTTTAAGGAAAACAAAACAGCAATGTATGAGACACAACACTCATGAAAACGAGGTTTTGTGGACAGGTTTATAGGCCGTCTTGGGGGTGGGGCTAACCACACACTCCTCACTCCTCCTCTTGGAGTTATCAGTTGATTCATGAGGATACTGATCTTCACAAATACTATGCCACCACTGGGCTCCTTCTTAACAGGGTGGTCCTAGCCTATGCCTGAGGCACAGGCTTCCTGTCACTCTCACCCATCACTTCTCCTGGACTGAAAGCAACTGTTTCCCCCCAAACTGGTGGCCCTATGTTTGTGAGAAAGTTGGGACAGAGTTGGTAGAGATAGTGTTGCCTGGTCTCTCCACAGACAGAAATAGGAAGAACAAAGAGGCCACAAAGCCTAAGGATTGGCCCTGAGCAAGCAAGCTTGGTGACCTGATTGGTCAGCCTGCCATGGAAATGTTAGTCTTGCCTAGACCACACATGCTATGGACAGGATGTTTCTGTCTTCCTCAGCGTGGTAGTTTTAGGAGGAAAGGCTTTTATGAAGTGATCAGATCACAAGGATGAAGCCTTCATAAATGGAATTAGTGCTCTTATAAAAGAGTCCTTAGAGAACTCCCCTACCTATCCACCATGTGGAGACACAGCAAGAAGATAACCATCTATGAGCTTGGAAACTGGGCCTTGCCAGACACCAACACTGCCTACGCCCTAACCTGAATTTCCCGGCCTCGAGAACTGTGAGAAACCAGATTTTTTTTTTTTTAAACAAGCCACCCAGTCTATTATATTTATAGCATCCTGAATGTCCTAGGGCATTGCTGGTCAAGAAAGCCAGTCCTCCCATGTACTGGAACCAGTGAAGGAAGACAGTGCTACATTGGCAGCATTCATCTCATGCCTGGCCTCAGGAAAGGAAGATTAACCTGCTTCCACCTTGCAATTACAAAAGAAACAGTGTGACCATTGAGTGCCCTCTCTGGTCAGATTGTCAGAAAAATTTTAAGTCATCAAGGAGGTGTCTTACACCTTTAATCTTTAAATATCTCAATCTGACTCAAGTTCTCTGATGTCCAGTAAACACTGCTATTTTATGCAATAAAATTTATTGCAGCTATTTATGCAATAGCTAACATACAGTTCACTAACACTGCCACAGGATAAATAAAAGGTTCTCAGTTTAGCATTCGCAGCTTAGCATGGCTTGATTCCAGTGCATATCTTCAATATTAACCCCTAAAGTGTTCTTTTCACCACATAGGCAGGCTCACTGTCACATTAGTGTGACTGCTCTTTCTTGACCCGTGGCATGCAATGCTATCCCCACTCTTAATTCTTCAAGGTCCAATTCAATCCAGATTTCCCAAACAATCCTCCCTTGAGCCCCAAAGGACTGGCCCCTTCCTTTCACTGTCAGCCCACACCACGCTATTCCTCTTCTATCCATCATTCAGTAGACACACATTGAAGGTTTGTTAGATGCTGGGAATGACAGAATGTTGGAAACAAGGTCTGTGTCCCGGAGAAGACAGTAGTGTCAGTGTATAATTTAGGTCCACAAGTAAATTGAAGGGGTTGGGATCATACAAGAAGCAAAGGTTTTACTGGAAATGGGTCAGGGGCAACTTAAAAGATAATTCTGAGTTGAACTGTGACAGATGGAGAGATTACAAGGAGGCATGGGGAGAAAAAACTAGGAGAATTTAAACACAACCCTTTGAAGAAATCCATGAAAATCCTACATGAAATCGTTCATCAAGGCTTTTGAGTTTTGCAACTTGTGCCTTAAGAAAATTCTCCATGTTGAGAATGCAAATCATTTCCTCTTCATTTGCATCTTATGGGCAGGAGGGGTACAAACACACTAAG